AACAAAACAGTCATGTAAACACTCTGTTGGTAGCGAGTCAATAAATATGGATCATCTCTGAGAACAATATGAAATAATTTTAAGTGCAGAATAATAAAATTAAAAAGTACAGCTAATATTTAAAAGCGTTTGCTGTTTGCCAAGCCTTGTCCTCTCTATGTGGAACATGTGACGGTTAATTTTAGGTGTCACTTGGACTGGGTTAGGAATACACAGATGGCTGGCAAAACATTATTTCTGGGTGTGTCAGGAAGGGTGTTTCTGGAAGAGATTAGCATCTGAATCCATAGACTCCTCCCGCCCCCCAGTGTGGGTGGGCATCATCCAACCCTTTCAGATAGAACAGAAAGAACAGAGAGGAAGGGTGAGCTTGCTCTTTCCAGGTGCTGGGAGACCCAGCTTCACCTGACTCACACATCTGAACCCTGGGTTCTCAGGCTTTCAGGCTCAGACTGAGGCACACCTCTAAGGTAGCTGCATTATACCACCAGCTTTTCCAGCTTGTACACGACGTATCATGTGGTTTCTCAGCCTCCATAGTCACATGATCTAACTCTCATTAGAAAAAGTCAACTCATATCTGTATTTACATATTCTAGTGTTTCTGCTTCTCTGGAGAATTCTTATACAGAATAAATCTCATTAAATCTCCACAGTAACCGAAGAGGCACATTCCATTATTATTGCCATTTTATAAATAAGGAAACTGCCATTCACAGAACTTTCCTGAGATTACACGTTATACAAACCATGTGGCCAGGATTCAGTTCTAGGTGGATGAAAAGTAAACACCTAAACCCTTGCTCTGGTCCTCCTGGCCTTGGCCTTCCAGCTCCAAGTCTCCACCTCAGCTCCTGATTTGGCTGTTGCTTATAGAAGCAAACCTGTTCATTAGAACCACAATGAAATAGTTCTGTGTAACCTGCAGTTGAGGCATCAGGGCTAGGTCTGAGTTCTCACTCAACTCTACAGATAGTGTTTATTGGAAGGGGTCTGCTACCAAGAGCAGAAGTATTGAGAAAATTGTTTCCTCCGTGTTTAGTATGCATTTCAAGTACGGTTTAGTATGCAGATCAAGGCTAAATTGGTTCCTCAGAGCATGTGAGGACCTACGAAGAGATTGTAGGTGAGTTGGAGGGAAGAGATAACAGATGTTGCCGGATGCACCCAGCGATGAACTGAGCTGCCCCTCGCCGCTGGATGAGAAGGTTTGGAGCACAGTGCACCTATGGGAGGCTCCTCAGAGAAGAGCTTATTAAGACTTTTGTTTCCTGAGCAGAGCAATGTTACTAGAAATAATGGAGATTCAGATAAGCTCTAGGGTACTGGGTGATTCATGAGTAAAAAGTCTGCCTTCATGTAAGTGATTCATGTTGCCTCACAATGTAACAAGATTAGCACGGAGTCAATAAGACTAAGGTAGCTAAGAAGGCTACCTTCTCCTGACCCGCCTAGGACTAGTGTTACAGAAATGACTTTTGAGAGAAAGTTGAAATATTGGACAACTTCTCTGAGAATCAGCCTTGAGAGACACAAGTAATATTCTCACCCTCCTTTTATTCTCATTTTGTCTGATTGGTTGCATTTCCACCCATATCCTGGATTATGGGATAGTCTTCTCTGTGAACTGCATGGAACTCAAAATTCTGCCCGTACGCCAGATTTCTTCATTTCAAAAGAGAGATCAATGGTGTTCACTGATTTTTGGACTCAGACTGAAACAGAGGCTCTTTTTGGGTCTTGAGCCCCCCATCCTGAAGACTGGAATTTTACCACTGGCTCTACTGGGCCCCCAGCTGGCTCACTCATTGTGCATCTTGGTATTTTCTCACCTCCCTAAATGCATGAGACAGTTCCTTATATTAACTAGCTGTATACACATAACATGTATTTATTGATTCCGTTTCTCTGGAGAACCCTGACTGATATGATTCCCTTGAACTTCAGCCTTTCACATGCATGACACACCTTTGGACCCTGTTATCACTGCATCTAAAATTCCTCACCCATTCTCACCACAACTTCTTATCCCTTCAACTCCCTGCATTCTTGACACCCACCACACCTTCTGTCTGACTCACTGTGAACTCTCATTCTTGACCAACTTTTACTCAAGCCCTCCCCGTACTTGCTTCCTGCCTTGCGTGCCGGGACCCCGGCTCCATCAGTCAACCTCTCATCATTTTTCTCAACTCTCTTGCCCATAGTCAGCTGCTAACATACAAATTCTGAGTCAACCTCATGCCCTGCTATGAGTCCACATTTACAGCCAAGCTGCCAGAGCTCCTAGGGAAAACTGGGAAATCACACACGTGGTCCTCCTACCAAAATTGGCTTTACCAGCAACACTTTTTGTGGTTTCTTCTCCGTTCTCTCAGGTTATCCATTCTCATCCTCTGATTGGGGTTTTTCCCTCTCTTACTTGGCCTAAGGGTTCATCCTCTGATCTCGTCTCAAAGTACGCTCTTTCTGTATGACCTCATCCATCCTCATGCCTTTGACTTTACGGGCTGATTATGCACTGATCTACATCACCTGCACTGACTGCTCTCTGAATCCTGATCCAACTTCCTTCTAAGCAGCGTTAGACACTCCAGCCTCAACATCTACAAAGCGAGCGCTTATCTACCTTCATTTCAACCACCACCACCACCCTGTTCTTAACCCTTGTATGTCCTGTTTCAGTAAATGACAGCACCGTTCATCTAGTTGTTCAAAATAGGAACCTGGGACTCATTTCTACATCCAAACCTTCACTCAGTTGCACATATTAATATGTTTCAATTGGTGTTCCTATCTTTGATCTCTTCTAAATGGTGCCTTTAGTATAGTTTTCTAACTTTAAGCCTCTAACATTTTTCCTCGTAGGTATCAATGCCTCAGCCTTATTTGTCATTCTCAAATTTGAAACATTCTTTCTAATACTTCATTCATTTGGTATTTTTAGTGTCTACTATGCATCAGGGGTACTACTGAAAGTATAATGAGAAACAGACACAGTATCTATTCTCATAAGACTTACACTCTCTCATGCTATTTTTCTAGAGATTAGATTTGATATTGCATGCCTTACAGACATGCTGTTTAAGGCCAGACCTCTTTGATTTGAAACCCAATTCTTCTACCATCCTATGCATTCTTGAGTTAACAACTCTAATCATTATCTTTTTCATCTGTAATACAAGGACAGTGAGAGTGCCCACATGCAGCCTGGACATTACTGATACATACACTGTGAACAGTGACATTTTACTGATGACCTCTATTCTGATTTGATGTCACCAATCATGACCTTGCCATACCAGTTATCAAATATTTTTAAATGACCCTTACTTACCTCAGAGGGTCAGAATGAGGATTGAGCCAATCATGTGAAATACATAGGGTGGCATTAGCACTGAGAAATACTTAATAAATATTAGTTGAATTAAATTCAGTAAGGGATTCCCTATCCTATAGAATCCAAAGTTCTCTATTTCTGGCTCTCCAATCATCTTACATTCTTCTCCAGGTATAACAAAATCCTTAGTTCCCTGAGTAGGTCACTTTCTTTTTTCTTTGTACAATTATATACACAGCTCCCCCTACCTGACCACCCTAAATTCTTTAATGTCTATATACAACTAGACACACAAAAACCTGAAAAATATGTTTTCTGTCTCTCTTGTTTTCTTTTCCTTTTTTTTTTTTTTTTTGAGTACTAGGGTAGTGAGTCTGAGTTTAGTTTCTTTTCTTAGTGGTAAGTATAGATTCCTCCAAATGCTTTAAAATTGATAAGCACTTTTAAACATCCAAATCAGGCCATTTTTTTTCATTGAACTGCATGGGTCATTCTCACTAGGCTCCTCCAAGGATGTTCCACTTTAATGCATCCAAAGACTGGGTATGGGGAGTCCTTCTTCCTTCAATATTTTGGCAGTTTTTTAATCATCTCTCAGTTTGAAACACCTTGAGGTCTCCATTTTTGATACCTGACTCCCCGTCTTAGACGCATTGCCTAGGGTTCCTCGTCAGTAAATATCCTTTGCTATGACCTTCTTAGCATCCTGTCCCCTAAAAATAGTAGCCTCATTTCTCTTAGTTTATCCCACCACCCATTCTATGTGATCCTGCAGTATTTCCATGAGTTGCTGCCTTCCAGCCACATTACCCAGGTGCAACAAAACAGTAACACACGGCCTATTGAGAGTGATTGGTCCAATATATGCAGATATAATACTAGGAGTCCCTGCATTGCTTTGGCTTGTTCTAACTGCACCTAGGAAGGAAGGGTCTTGTCTCTGGGGTCATAGAAATAGAAGGGTGTGGTGCAGGATTATTTACAGTCACTTTCTTTGCCATGGAACTATGCAGTCTTAAAACACACTGGGCTTAACTCTACCAAAGCTCACTGCCTCACTGATTGGCATTATCTGTTCTTCAAGTACTAAACAAATGTTTGATGAACAGTTACTTGTATCTGGATAAACATAATTTCTAAAGGCAATTCTGAAAGTTTGATATATGGACAAATCCCATCTATCACCACCTATCACCATAGATGATATTATGTCACATTCTCGCTATAATTTGACAACAGGAATGGATTCCCTTTAGGTGTTTGAATCTTTGGAGAAAAGAACTGTCCTGTGCACATATTTAAGAGCAGAATCTATAAATCTGTCCACAGCTTGAAACAAGGACACTGAAGACTCAACCACATTTAACTGGCTGGGCATGATGGCACACACCTGTAATCCCAGCACTCGGGAGGCTGTGGCTGGAGGACCACTGTGAATCTCAGGCCCGTCTGGGCTACAAAGTGAGTTCAAGGCCAGCCTGAACTGCACAGTGAAACCCTGTCTCAAAAAGACTAACAACAACAATAATAATAATAATAATAATAATAATAATAACAAATTTAAAACTACACTTAACCAGAGTTCAAATCTTTTCTTTAATCTCAAAAAATTTTTATATGTAGCCCTTTAGAGCTAAAATGATAGCACAAATTAAAGTGAGCAAAATAAGGAACTTTTTGTTTATTATAGAAAACAACTCAAGCTGGGAAACAGCTCATCTGAGATGGAAATGCTGGCTCTAAATCTTGTTTAGCGTTGAGTCTCGAGGAACATAGCAGCTCCATTGTGAATTCATTCTTCCACCATAGCCAGATCTATAAATTAGAAATAACATTATGCGTCCTGGTTAGTCTCACCACAGTTTAATTAGATTATTTCTAGGAAATGCTTTGACTTCAAAACTCATAAGAAAATTCAAAGAACTTTTATTATAAAAGGTTTCAATTTGATTAAAAAAAACCTCCATGCCTGCATTGTGAGTCATACAAATTTCCCACTGACTTTCTATGTGTCTCTATTATCAGCATGAAATATTTATTTAAAGTCTATTGAAGTAAAAAATTGTGCTTCCAGCTCCCAGCCCAAGGTGATTTCTAATGACTATTTAGTTTTTATGATGATTTTTAAAATTTGCATTAATAATAGAACAACCTAATGTTAAATTGAAGGTTATTAACGTTGGCCTCCTTTCAAATTTTCTGAATGTTGAAAAGATCTTTTTTCTTTTAATCATATTTTTCCTTAATTGTATGAGAATAAAATTACACTTAATTATTATTTAAAATTCTATAGCACATTTGTGTAGGCAAAGACTCCAAGTTGTACCTTAACTCAAGTAGCTATGATTTATTGTCTTCTCAGTATCTGCTTCATGTCTATAAGCGTCTCAAATGTAACAAGAAGGAAAGAAAAAGAAAATGTCCCTCCCCAGTGTGTTCCTCCTCCAGTCCAGTCTTCCCCAGGTAAGCAAATTGTTTGGGTCATTTGGAGGGTCATCCTCAACACCTTCTGTCTTCTCACACGTCACATTGGATTCATCTGTCAGCTGTACTCTTAATATACACCCCAAAACATACTCCAAACTTGATTTACTCACAGTCACCCCTCACCTCAGTCATCACAGCAGCATAATTGATTTTCCTTCCCCCCTCAATCTATTCTTAGAACAACAAAGTAATTCCAGAGCAATTGATTTACAAGAGATCTTGCTTTGCTTAAGCCCAACCCCCTACCACTACCATGGTTGTCCAAATACCCAGAGTAAAAGCCAAACTACACAATGACTACCAGGACTTTTGTGAACTTTCTAGTCTTTCAGCCACCTTTACTGCTCCACTGGAGATTTGTACTCTGAATGCTGTCTGCATTTTCTTACCCTGGACATGTGCATGACAGTTTCCCACACTTTCTTCCAGTATTATTTATATGTCATCTTTGAGTAAGGCCTTCTCAAGCAAATTTATCTAAAATTACAAATCCTCACTCCTGATATGTCCCTTTTCCTTCCTACTTTATTCTCCTACCCCCCTCAACACTAACACAACCCCTTATAACAACAAAATGTTGTTCATTGCCTTTCTCCTGCTCTAAAATGTAAAATACAGCAACAGATATTTTTATCCTTTTTACTCACTATTGTATAAAAATATAGAGCTTCAATAAGTATGAGTAATCAAAACTACATCTGAAAAGAATTTCCGGCTACTTTCACAAGGACAATGGCCTTTGCTTTTAAACTCCCATTCTGCCAGGGATAGTGTGGTAGGCCATGAAGTTAGATAAAATACTATAAGCAGTCAGACAAGGCTAGGCCCTCAAAGTAGCCAGTGCAGAAGACAAGATGCCTTGCAACTGTGGGCCAGACCTCAAGAAAAAGGTGAAACAAATGCACCCACATTCCTCCCTAAGGATAAACATCAGGAATTTATATTCTAAATAGGTTTCTATCACCTTGAGAAAGCCAGGAAGAGTCACTAACCCAACCTCCTACAAGAAAAGCCCCTGTTCTGTATTCGTGCCCCTTTGCTACCTGACCTGCCTCCTCCTTTGATTTTTTTTATTTTTAAAGATAAAAAAACTAACAAAACAACAATGAAGACAAAATCAAAACAAAAAGAAAATGATACATGACCTCAAAACAAAATGACGGGAATTAACAATGGTTGCTGCATTACATATTATTATCTTCAATGAAGTTGCTCAGTCCATCAGATGTAAGAATGTAAGATTGATGAAACAATTAAAGACAGTAACAAGTAATAAAAAAAAAACAAACATTGGAAATGATGCAGAGCTTCACCATACAAGATGGTAGGAGTTCAACAATGGTTCATATACTGCATATTGGTGTTTTCAGATCAGTCTTTCTGATTACCAGATTGAAGCATGCAAAATTGGCCAAGAAAAGAGAAAATTTTAAGCACTGTAAGCACTGAATATTCCTTTCAATAAACCACAGACATCAGGAATACACCCATCCCAGCTATCCCTGTATATACATATAAATTTTGTTTTTCATTTTAAAGAGAAAAAAAACCACAAAATAACAAAAACAAATACATGAACAAAACAGCATAGAGAACAATGAAAATGATACAGAATTTCAAAATAAGGTGATACAGTATTAACAATGGTTGTCATATTACATAATGTTATCTTCAAAATAGTTGCACCAGATACAGTTTGATTGATAACCAGATACAGTTTGATTGATCAAACAGTTACACATTAACAGTTCCTTTCAATAAACTAAAGATATTAGTAGTACAATTATCCTAGCTATCCTGTGTATACATATTTTTTTCTCTTCCATCTTTTTTTTTCCACTCCCCTCCTTCATCCCAGTTGCTTCTTCCTATTTGAGCAGTTTCTTTTCTCTTTCACAATATCTATTGTATCTTTAAGATTTTATTTACTCTCTCAGGTTCTTATACTAGGGAGACAATACAATGTTTACACATGTGAATCTGATTTATTTCACTTATGAATATGGTCTC